CGGCGGCGGTGGCGGCGGCGGCGGCCGAGGGGAAGCCCCTGTCGCCGGGCTGAGGAAGAGAAGCCGTGTTGCTGTGGGGAGGGGACCCAGTTAGCGGAGGGAAGGCTTAGGCGGCGAGGGGAGGGCGAGCCGACAGACCCCGCCCCGTGGGCCGGACGAGGGAGGAGCCGGGGCTGCGGCGAGCGGAGGGGCGGGCTGGGCGACGCGCGGGAAGCAGCTCGGCCTTCGCCAACGGCACCGGAGGCAGGGCAGGTGACCGCACAGTCCAAGAAATCCGATTGGCGGCGTCCCTACCGAGAGGGGGGTGGTCCGGGCCGGAAGTCAGGCCACGTGACCCGGAAGCGGCTTCTGCCAAGGCCCGCGCGCCTGCGTGCTCCTGCGTGTGCCTTCGGAACTCGGGCAGGCGGTTTCCCCGGCTCTCTGGTGGTGGGAGGACAGGGTTCTGCGGTGCCCTTTGTCGACCCCGCTCTGCGGGGCAGGGAAGGTCAGGATCGCGAAGAGCCAAGTTCGAGCTCCGATAACTCTCCGTGCCCAAAGAGGGTGGGGCGGGGAGGCGTGACTGTCCGTACTGATGGTGAGGGGAGAGAGGGAGTGCTGCACCTCTGGGGAAAACAAGTCAGCTTTGTCGTGGAGCTAGTGCACGCGTTCAGAGGGCCTTTTGCAATTATTCAGCCTCCAGACTGCCTGGAATCCAGCCCGTCCTTTCTATCGCACTGCTACAGCCCTAGACACCTTTTGCCCCAAGCTGTGCAAGTGTCTCTTCCCTGGGCTTGCCTCGCCTATCCTCAGTGCTGCGGACCTGATGAATTACTGTCCGTTCTCTGCTGAAAAGCCCAGACAGCATCTCGTCTTTGAGATCCCACTTCCTTCACACGGAGTCGCGCCCCCCGCCCCCCCACCCCAAAGTCGCCTGGGTTCCAGTTAACCTTGCCGAAGACGTGCTCTGCCTGGCATGCACTTCCTCTCAAATGTTACATCTATGAAGCCTCACCCTCAAACCCTGTAAGAACGAATCCCTCTTTCACCCACATGTTCGTTAGCCTCTCTTTAGCACATCTTGAATTTTACTCATTTCTGCATCCCCACGTGTCCATTTGCCTCTGTTTAGCGCGTCTTGAATTTTATTCATTTTTCGTCCCAACCTAGTTCACTGCCTGGTATATAACACATCTAATAAGTGGGAGTTGACTGATGAGGACTATAAAATGATAGATTTGTTAAGAACCATAGTGCTGAGCATTGTGCCTGGCACATAATGGATGTCCATATTTTTTTTAATGAAAAGAATGGATGAATCATCTAGTCCGACTCGTCTTTTACAGATGAGGAAAGGGGAGCCCCACGGGATTAAGTGACCTTGCTTGAACAGCCATGGGTTTCTCATGTTGAATGGTATTCATTACCCCAGTCACCTAGGTTCTTAAAAGGAAGCTGGAAAATTGCTTTTATTGCGCTATGCCCTTTTTGCAGAGGTTCCCAAACATAGTCGCCAGAATTTTTTAATGGCCCAAAGTGAAAAAGAAATGCTAGGTTTTTCACGAAGCTAAATTTAATCAATTTAAAGGAATCCTTTATTAGGGATTGTTCTTTTTTTGTGGTGAAAGGTCTATAAAACTATGATAGTATATAACAGGGATTTGAGAGCATTTTTAATGCCCTTATTTGGCAAAATAAAAATGTATAATACCTCCCCTTTTAAGCACTAGTATACTACTAGGAAAATTTCCTACAAATATGTAGGATAATGTATACTGGAAAACAAGTGGCCGACACAAAGCACAGAGCTGGCTTTCTGTGGTCTTTAGGCCCCCTGCCCAAATTTCTCTCTGCTTCCTAACCAGTCGTGCCCCAAGTCACATGTTATGTCCCATTTCTCCCGTGCTACACAAAACAGATGCCATTAACCAGTTCAAAGATAGATTGAATACTATGCAATGAAAATGAAACCTTGCCCTCTGAATCCAAGTGCTGTTTTTCTCTTTTTGCCTACAAAGCACATATATCCTCAACGTTCCTAAGCTAACCACCTCCAAGTTTAAAGTCATTGGTTATGATCCTAATGTTGGTCTGTGGTTCTGAAAATGAAGACAGGAGACTTGCTGATGACATATTGGCAGTCTCTGGTGCTCCTAGCCAAGAAAAGGTGGGGGCAGGGGGTAGAGAGGGAAAGGAATTATGGGAAAAATAATTAGCAGCTGAAAGCAGCTATTACATAATCTTGGCTGCTTATTAATTTAGAAGAAGGAATGGCTTATTAAATTCTAATAGCAGCACAACTGCAAACAACCTAGCAATTAACAATGCAGGGCCCATTATTTTGTTAATATGTTCTCTTTTTGGCAAGTGTATAAGAACAAAATTTATAGAAGCAGATGGTCTTTTTCAGTAGATTATAGATGGTTTTTCCCCAGTCTTAGTATTAAGTGCTAATTGTGCATTCACTGTGAAAGACCAAAGAAGCACTGTTACTGTCTTTGTTAGTAATTAACTGCTTGACTTTGATTCCAACATTTTCCAAATTGTGGGCTTTCCTATATACATATTTCTTCTCACCTAGTATCTTCTTCATCTGTCATGTTAATAGGGTATCTTTTTTCATCCTCTGCTTTTGTTATCTGGGTGGTCCTGATTTCTTGGTTGTTAATGATGATACAAAAATAATTTCTTACGAAAAATTAAAAATCAGATTTTATACTTTTTTTTTGGTACAGGAGACATTTATTACAAAATAATTTCTCATGGAACAAGAGCATGTACTTTCATGGTGCAAGGCTGCCTGATGTTTCGCAGGTTTCAGTGGCCCAGGCAGATAAAGGAAACTCAGCAAGGTCAGA